GGGGGGGACCCCTCTTTTTTTTTTTTCCCCCTCTTAAAAAGGGGAGAAAGGGGAGAGGGGGAAAAAAAAAAAAAAAAAAAAAAAAAAAAAAAAAAAAAAAAAAAAAAAAAAAAAAAACATTCATCAGGTCAGTCCTGAGCTGTATTGATGTTAAAGTCAAGCAGAAAGAGATGAGCTTTTCACCTGTTGATGTTAGAAGTGCTTTTTTTTTTAGCTGCAAATCTATCTTTTGCCACAAATTATCAAGGTTACTCTACAGGAATACGTTGTTGGATTTTAGGTAATAAGATGTGTGTTCTCTTATTTTAAAAATGTTTGTTTATTTGCATCTTGTAAAGTATTTCTAATATTGGATAAAAAGACTTAAGTGGTTAAATAAAAAATCTACAGAATGTAGCAATTTTTACTTTTAATCTGACAAATCGTCACGAAAACAACTGTCAGCTGCCGACCTACAGAGAATTGTTAATCAAACATTACTGTAATAACCCTAACCACTTCCTACTAACAATTTTCTGATCATAAGACCAATGATTAAATCAGCTGACAAACACACACACACACAAAAAAAGAAAAAAAATCTTCAGTGCACAACGTAGCATAACTTAAAATACCTTAACATGACAAAAAAAAAAAACAAACAAACATTATGTTATAATTGTTAAGTCGATGGTCAAGGAATCCTGCTTAACTACCTGAAGAAAAATCACCAAAACTGAATTCAGAAGGATTGTACGAAGGCGTCTGGGTGTTATAGATTTTCTGTCAGACTGGTGACCAGCAGGCTGAGCAAATATTGTTTAAAGAACAGGGTCAGTCTGGGTCGACCACCAAAACACAGGAAGAGCTAAAAATCACAATAAAACCCAGAACACACACCAAACCTACAAGTTGTTAGATAACAGACGCTCATCAAGCAAAGATGGTTTTTAAAACATCTCCTTTTAGTGCATTTATATTCTCAGTCAGAAATTCACTTCAACAATCATCCAGACATTTCAACAGAATGATGGCAGCACATTGACTACAGGCGGTCTCAACAAACTAGTCTAGTTAGTGCAAAGTTTACCTTCAACAGCTGCAGCTGATCAAATGTCAGGTCTTTGACAGGGACCTCAATGAGCTCCAGAGTCTGGTCATTTTTCTACCAAGTCAGAAACGGAACAGTTAGCGTCACACAAACTACTACAACTGTGAGAAAAAAAAAAAAAAAAAAAGACGTTTAACGGACCTTCTTGGTGGAGATGCAACATGTTAGATCGTGGTATACGATCGGCACCGAATCCTTGGAGAGATGAACATCAAACTCCACAAAAGCTGCACCCTGCGTGTTCAAACACGTTGAGGCAAAATGTTTTGCAAATGCCTGGATTCGTTCAGATGTTCGTCTCGTTGACTTACGTGGTTGGCAGCGCTTTTGAAAGAAGCGATCGTGTTCTCCCGGACTTTGTGGTATCTGTAAAGTAAGAACCGGAGCAACTGATAAGACATCTGAATCTGTGTATATTTTTCCACATCCATCTGCTGAAATTCCTAACGAGACTCCTCCTCACTTCATGGCACGCGATTAATTATATGTTTGAAACTAGCAAATTGAGTGGATTCGAAATATTTTTTTGATGCAAAAACTACTTCTGCTGTCGGTAAAGATTGTCTCACTTGGCAGCGTGTGTGCTTCCTGCTCCTCTGTGACCCACGTCCACCGTGCTTCTCTTTGTCCAGTGCTTCGTGTACGACGAGCTCATGTCGCACTGCAGCTTCTGGATGGGGCGGATCACCAGGTAATCCACTGAAGGCATAAGCTGCAGTCAATGAGGCTGGACTCGACAAAAATCAGGATGCGCAGCACATTCCGAGTACTTTCAAAGAACCGTCACCTCTGACTTTCCCGATCGTCTGCCTGAAGTTTCGGCCCATGATGGGAAGCGTGACTACGCCCGTGTCATTGCCGTTCTCCGAGAACGAGGAAGACAGGAGGCAGGCTGTCCCGACGTGTCCGGGGTGGATGTCTCCCTGGACCACGTGCTCACCCAGATCCTCCTGCAATCACAATCCGGGTCACTAAACGCGCTACAGCACATTCTGACGACTATTCGCGGAGTTATCGGAATGCGGAAGGACCTCAAAAAACTCGAAAGTGAGCTCCAGGTTGTCCGGGTCCATGGTGTGAATGCTGTACTCGGTCCACCGAGAGGGCTCCAGGGCGTAGCCGCACTCCGGCTGAGAGTGACGCGACTTGTAGTCGTTGGCAGTGATTAGACTGATTTCCAGAGTTGTGGTCATCTTGTGCCAAGAGGAAGGGGTGAGTTCCTGTTCTCCCTCCTCCTCCTCCTCTTCTTCAATGCCCTCTAACGTAAGTTTAATCCTACATGCAAAATTAAAAAGAGTCAAAATACAGTCACACACTTAAAAAAAAAAAAAAAAAAAAAACCTGACAGAGTGTTGCTCCATTTTAAATATAACTGCATGCACGTCCTGTTACGCTTATGTAACAGGTCAGTAGTATGGAACGTCTCATGATGTGCTCAAGTTAAATTTGAACTCTGTGGCATCCTCACCGGAAGCGCGACTTCTTGAATTTCTTCTTGGTGATGGACACCGGAGGCCTCTTGGAAAAGTGCAAGCGCAGTCGAATGTCCGTCTGGCATGTCAGCCATCCTGAGTCAACGCATTTCACCCCATCTGCAAAGAGAGACGGCCTGTAAACTGAGGCAGCAGCGCACAGACTTCCTCCATCGTGAACGAAGCTTTTCCTCATCTCGTCACCAAACAACCAAAAATCCCAAGTCTCATTGGGCGGTACTTGCGTTGGACTTACAAAAAGTAGTTCTTAATTGTAAAATTGAAGCAAGATAATGCGTAGATTTGTGGTACAAACTTGAAAAGTGTCTCCTTTATTTGTATTCAGCTCCCTTTACGCTAATACTCAAAAAAAAAATCAAAGTAAGCAGACTTACTGTGAAATCCGAATTCCCCATTGTCAATGTTCTGCTGTGCAACTGCAATTGAAAAAAAAAAATAATTTTTTTAATGGTTTTGCAATACATCATCAGTTGAGGTCATCAAACAAGAGCAACCTTTGGTAGTTAAAGAAAAAAAACTATTTTTGAACTCTTAAAACGTCTGATTCAATCGCTCTGCATTTTAGTTGCCTCAACTTAAAAAAAAATAAATTGATTTATGTTAATAAGAACTTCTATATTTAAAGTCAGCATAGGGCAGAGGTTACTGTAAGACTAAGACAAATTAAAATAAAGGTACATCAGCATGTAACAAGGTGATACTCAATAGACACTGTGCAGGGTGTGGACGTGGCTGCAGCTACTCTTCCCATCTGGCTCATGTTCAAATAGCTTTTTGTTTGCATAAAACCCAACACAATGGCTGGCTAGCTAAAAAGATCTAGAATAACAGGCCATGGATTCTGCTGCACCGCAGTGTTTCCTCTGTGGCTGTAGATTAGTGCGAGTAAGGGTTCTCACCGATCCTCCCAAAGCATCCACACAGCGTCAAAACAAAACAAAAAAAAAAGCAGACAGCTGGGAATTACAATGAGCTTTTTTTTTTTTTTAGAGGAAACACTGCAGTTCATTTAAACTTTAACCCAAAAAACACTTTCCTGAGTAGATTAAGCTACAGTGGAATCGGGAATTAGAGGTTTGAGTACAACAGACTTTACCAAATTGATTTTTTTTGTTGTTGTTGTTGTTGGTTTATACCTGTGGGGCTCAGCGTGCGAGGCTGATGATGGGTCTCCCACAAATTGACTATCACTTGACATGGGCCACCCGCACTCTGCAATTCCAACGGTGGGTACAATGTTAGGATTTTCAAGTCAGACACACATGAACTACCATTCAAGCTGGTCGCAAAGACGCCTTTGGACCAGAGAGTCAGAAAGCGGTTAGAGCTCGTACAGTCGCCAGCTGGATCAGGCGCAGGTGGCGGGTTGAAATCTGAAAGGTGGATTTGTTAGTGAAAGGATACCAAAAAATAAATAAAAATCCTAGAATTGTATCTTTGTTCAGATCATGTTTTCTTTTAAATGTACTTAAGCAACAATAGTGCAAGTATATGGAAATTATTTTCAGCCACTAGTTTTACAAGTTAAAAAATGATAGGTTCTTTAAAAATAAAGTACAGAAAAAGTGACTTCACCCTGCTGTACTGCTGGAAAAGTCAAAACAGACAACTTTTAAATGCAGAAACTGGTAGGAAATGACACAGACCTAACACATAATGAGATATCATACACAAAAAAATAAGAAAACTTAATCAAATTCTGTGAAGTCTTAAATAAAAATAAGCTCCACCGTTGATATAAAACAACCAAAAAAAGAAGGAACACACCAAAACGCCATCTTGACAAAGTCACCAGAAACTGAAAGAATCTTCAAATGCATCCGACTTGTTTACGTCCAGTCTAAGGGAAGTACCACATTCTTCACCCAAGAGTGAAGATCATGCAAAAAGAGGCTTTAGCTAAAGGCTGGCCGAGGCTCCACATGACAGATTAAAAGCAAAGCAGCTGGTCAGCTTGTGGCTGGACCTTCCAAAGCTGTTTCGCTTCACATTCCACATGGCGGGATCACAGCTGGAAGGAATCAACCGAAAGAGAAAAAGAAAAAGAGGCTTGTCCTGAGGCAAGAAAAAGAAAAAGCAACTTTTAGCAAATCAACTAAAAGTTGCTTTACTGGCTGTGCCGAAAAAGCATGCCATGTATATTTCCACCAGAGCAAAACAAAACGATCACATCGAAAGTCATTTGCTGTGGAATTAAACACAGAGGGAGGATGAGGTTTTTGGTTATTCTCACAGTGCAGCGTGGCAACGCTGCCAGCATTGCCACGTGTAAAACAGAGACAGACATAAAAAGGACTTGACAACAATCCTACCACCTTACATCGCTTCATTCCAAGTCGGGAAGAATCCATTTCAAGTTAGTGGTGACTTTGAGCAAAAAAAAAAAAAACTATCGATAAATTCGACATACTAATAAAATACTGCTGCCTTTATCTCTGTTGATGGTCTGCCAAAGTACAAATTATGAAGTCATACCGGATTGAATATAATGGAGCATACATAGAAATATAAACCTCGTCAGCTACTTTTTTCCCCCAAATTTTTTTTGAGAAGCGTCACAACTACGACGGCGTACGTGCACCTGACACAAAAACACCAAGGAAAACCAACTCACCTTTGATTCCAGGAAGAAGCCCTTAAAGTAACGATACGTGGAAACGACCCCCTTGGGTACAGAGATTGTCACTGCCCATGTGTGCCTGTGATTAAATCGAGACAACAGAGAGGGTTTAAGGTAAGCTATATACAATGCACATACACCATTAACGAACTTCAAAACAAATCAAGATTACATCTTGATTCATATACCTTTCATCGCCAAGAGGATGTAAAGTCACAGCTTTCTGATAGTTCCAGTTTCCCAGAGCCTCACAGCTGCCGACTACGGCAATCACCTCACCTAGGAATGGGAAAAATAAAGACATATAGCATGTCATGACTATTGTATTTATTACTTTCTCAATAGAAAGCACGTTGTACTAAAAGTTCTTCAATGCTGCAGAGTTGGGCGAAATGGATTAAAAATTTAATCTCAGATTCTTTCATACCAGATCCGATTTCAATTATTAATTTTTTTTTCTTTGCTCGTTTTTCTTTTCTGAAAGAAATTACAAATCACAGAAAATATCTTACAAAAGAGTTTTTTTTATTTCAGTCATCCCTTCTGTGAGATATACGACAAAGTATCAGGGCCAGATATGAGAATTTTTGTTTAATTACAAGAATACAGTCAAAAGGTCTTAAAATTACAAGATAAAATTTGTTTCAAGGAGAAAAAAGCTCAAAGAGTTATCAGGAGGTGACGCGACCAGCTCAGTTAGTGTAGTTATTTTTTTTTCCGAAATGGACAGTTGTTTGCACAATCATTTCAAAGTCCTGCATTTTCATTTATTTTTCATGTTGGGAGTTCTTATAAGATTCCTACTTCATTTCTCCTAATATAACAACTTTACTCAGATATTATGAGTTTATTCTGGAAATAAAAAGAAAGAAAAAAAAAAAAACTTAGCCCACCTCTAATATTACATAAGAGAGTTGACCTGACTTTAAAGTCCACATAAATAGAAGCTTTAAGCTCTACTTGTCAAAGGAGATAATAGACCTTAGGTGTGGTGACATTACTCCCAAAATGAAATCTTAAAAAAAAATAAAAAAAAAAAACCCCAAAAGAATTCCGTTTATCGCCCAGCCCTACACGATTGTAATTTTCTCAGAAAACAAAAAGGATTTATTCAATCTGTTGAGGAGCAGGGAGTGTTCAAACCAGGCCGCATAGGACAACTAAAGTTAGTTGTCCTATGCGGAAGTGTGCCCTTAAATCTTTGTTTCTTCCTTCCTTGTATTCTTTCACACTTTTGTTGATTTTGCTCAATTATTCTTTTTTAGTCTCGTCTTCCCCCCCCAGCCTGACATCTGGAGAATTATTGTGAAGGAGCCATGAAGTTTTAAAAACAACAAAAACCCTACAGGTTTTAATTATTTTTATTTTATTTTTTACCTGTTTAAAACACCAGAGAAAAACCAGACATACCTGGGGTGGTTTCTCCCCTGATAGTCAAGTTCACCTGGCTGGTCTGCATAGTTGAAACAGGCAAACGCGAACAATGGCGATGCAAAAAGGCTGCAAGACAAGAACAGGGTTTAAGTAAAACAACCTCGGCTTTCTTCCCCAGTAAGGCCACTGAGAGGTCAGAGACGTTGCAATACTGGCCACGTGTCTACTGCAGACTGAAAAATAACAACTTTTCCAGTAATAATGTTCATGACAGCTCAACTCCTCCAACAGCTTCAGACAAACACCTCGCATCCAAATTGTACAGTTATATACAATATCAAATGGAGCGAAAAATAGAAACGGCTGGAAAATACATCACAGAGAACTCCGCAAGGGGGAAAACCCGGATGTATCGATTACCTTCTTAATTCCTAAAGTTCCGGGCCGGTTCTTGGCACTGCTGAGGGATTCACAGCAAACCTCGGTTCGTCTATCCGGCAGAGTAGCATCGGTCTGGACCAGCTGCCTCAACCACTGCCATCGCCGTTCAGTTCATCATCCTTCAATTCAAGACGGCTTTAACCGAAAACAAATAAAGATGTTCTGAGAGCAGATTTGACCCCGGAAATGACAACGCTTAATCAAAACCTTCCATCCCCCACGTTTATCCCCAGCACTGGAACGAAGATGCGAGACAAACCGATTCTTCTTCTTCGCGGAATTTGTAATAATCATCATCTAATACGTTCAACAATTGACCCGAATCGAACAACAAACTTCCGGTGAATGAATTTCAACTTAAAATCTAGGGAAATGTTCACAAATGTGTTTCTACACTAAATGAACGTTGTGTTTAAGATGGCGTTTAAACATTTTAAAGTAATTTAAAAGCCCATTGAAGACTTTTTCCTAGGGAGGAAGGAAATTACCCCTGTGCCTACCTCCAGCTCTCATTGACGGGAAACGAGGGGTACACCCTGAACAGGTTTCCAGTCCATTACAAGGCAACACAGACACACAAAACAAACAAGCATTAACCCCCACACTCATACCTAACGAAATTTTAGCAAGAAAAACAAAATAAAATAAAAATAAATGTAATGTTTTAAATCAATTCGACTAACTAAACAAAAAATACTTTTACCTTTTACTTTACTTTTACTTTGAAAGCATTACCTACACTTTTCATGTTGCTTCCGCTGCGTACTTGAACTGGTTCATACCGCCCTGCTCCGGATCTGCGGCGTTTCCCTATGATGCATTCAAGTTCCTTTACAATAATAGTTATCAAAAATGTTATAAATACCAAAAGATATTTAAACAGTTAGAATATGTATGTATCTCAAACAGGATAGTGGTAACACAGACAAACATACTTTCTTGTTATAAAAAATGAACATTTTTCCCAACCAAGCACACTGCATTTTCCCCCAAAAGCGTTCCGTGATATATATATTCTTTTAATAGCAGGTGTTATAGTATTTAGATGTGGACTTCAGATGGCATATTGAACAAAATTGACTGAATATGTCACTCTTCCTTGTGAAGTCCAGTAAGTCTCAAACTAAAAACAGAGTCTCTCATAGATTAAGTTATTAAAAGAATTAAAGCGGAATTTACGTGCTTCTCACAATGCAACACAAACTAAGTTTGTTTTGGTTTGCCCAAACCGTGTTTGTCTGGGGATTATTAACAGATAGAAAGTATTTGCACTGCATGATAAGTGACAACCATATGCACACCGGTTTGTGGTGCAAATGACTCGTTTTGGAATTCGGGCCAGATAAACCCGATTTGAATAGGAGAAAATGTTTTTAACAATGGGTGAAATCAATATCGCCGCCCCTTGGTGTTCATCGAAAGTACAGAATGGTGTTTGTTGTCATTCCCAACCCAACACACTTAAGAAATCGTATCTTTATATCCCCATTCTACGAAAGCGTCTGTCTGTAAAGCTGATTCCAAATATAGACGATATGAGTCAGTCGTTTTTGGCTGCAATGGTACACTGTCATATTACGCAGTAAATTTAGTCTTGTTCTTTCACCATCGTATAGGACTTAAACATTTATAATGCTGTGGGGGAAAATAGATGTGTAATTACATCTGGTCAGCTGAAAGAAAAATAGTCAGCTGGTGGCTTAAACACTTATTCAGGATTTAGTTCTTTGATTTGTTTTTCTTCTTTATGGTCATACAGTATTTCACGAAAGTGAGAACTCCCGTCACATTTTGTAAATCTCTTTGGCTATGTTTCCACAGGACACTGAAGATATGTACTTTGATACAAAGTAAGTCAGTGTTTGACAGTGTAAATCTGTTAACACAACTCAAACACGGTTGTTAATGTCAAACCCGCTGGCAACAAAAGTGAGTACACCCCTAAGTGAAAATGTCCAAATTGTGACAAAAAGCGGCAGTATTTTGCAGACCTGCCTTGAGTGCGGAGTTCGTAAAATCAATGAATACAGCTACAAAGTTTTATTAATTATAATATTTTTTGTGTGTTTGATGGAAATGATAGCTGTTGTTTGTGTTTCCCGCTATGACAGCACCATAACAGTGTTGATATTTGCAAGAATTATAATCATGGTTTGGTCTGCAGCACCCCCTAGTGGTTATACGAAGTTTACACATCATACAACAGATTGCACACTGCAGCGTATGTAAAATGATCCTTCTTCCGGAGTTTAAGTTTAAAAAAGAAAAAAACGAACATATATAATATATATATTCGTTTTTTTTCTTTTTTAAACAAAAAAAACAAACA